TATATATATATATATATATAGAAACGTATATAAATTTTTCTTTGATTCAAAGAAAAACCTATTTTTTCGCCTAAAATTTGTAATCTGATTGCGTGTAGGGATATGATCGGTGACATTTTTGACCAACTTTTACTTTCAATTATTTACCGCGGAAAGGCATGGTGTATGAATAGAAAAAAGAGCGATAGATTATGGTGGTATAATCATTTACAAAAATATAACCATAAGTATTTATATTCAGGAATTTGTATATGGGTTTATAAAAAAGGTGATCGTTGTTCATGAGGAGCAGATAATTTTCAGGCGATGTATGCATGTTCGCTTTTTTTTTTTTTTTTTGCATTTGTCCTCCCCATTTCTTTTCCCATCGAATAAATTGTTGTCATCTTTCCATAACAAAAAAAATTTCTTTTTTTTATTTTATTTTGTTTTTATTTTCTAAAAAGTCTCCTTTACCCGTTGAAAAAAGGTCTTTGCTTTTGAAGACCGGTTTTTTTTTTTAAATTTAAATTTTTTAAAAACAAAAAGGAGAAATAAGGATGTTGGACTACGAATGGGTTGTTGTTACCCATTTTATTCATTAATAGAAGGGAAAAAAAGAAAGGGAACAGAAGTGTTTTCATTTTTTTTTTTTTTTGTTATTTCCTCATTTTTTTCATTTTTTCTTATTTTTTATTTATTCTTATCCGCTATGTTCTTTAAAAAAAATAAAATTGGCTGATAATGAAAGGCATTTTTGTTGACTGGATATATTTCTAATTGTATTCCTTTTTTTGTTGCAGAAAGTTAGGTGCATTTTTTGACTTTTTTTTGAAGATTTAAAAGCTTTGATAATTTTATTAATTTTTTTTTCGTTCCTAAGAGTTCTTTGCTTTGAAAGAACCTGTTCAGTTAAGTTGCAGCTTGAAGATTGGCTTAGATTAGAAGACTGAAAATGAGAAAGATGCAAAGAAAATGAGCAACGACAACAAAGATTGTACGGATGCTCATTGTTTAATTTTTGTAATTAATTAAATGAAGTGTGCAGATGATCTGAACCAATGGCCATTTGATTGTATCAGCAGTTTTTATGATTTGTCGCTAAATTTGTTCAGCTTATCTGTAATTAATATTGGATTGATGATTGGGTAGATCAGTGTTTAGAAGAAACAAAAAACAAAAAAAGCTGTTCACATTATCATTATCGTTTTTTCTGCTTTTTTTTTCGTCTTCACTTTGTTTCGCTTTTACTTTTGCTTTTGAACACTACGGCATTTGATTATTAATTTTTGTCGAGGAAAAAAATAACACAAAAAATGCATCAGACCGTCGATTATCCTTCTTAACAGAATACAGTGGTTCAAAAAAAAAAAAAAAAAAAAAAA